AGTAAAAGCAGCAACTTAAGGTTTGAGGGTGGTAAGGTGTTTCCCTCAGACAAACAGCATTTGCAGCGATGCTGCCTTTTCAAAAGGAAGCAAGGGATGGGATTATTATTAATTCTCAATCCAGGAGATCGGATCAATAGGCAGAACACTTTAAGGGACAGTTCAACTGGCCTTCAGCCACACTTAGGTTACCCACCATCTTCGGTCAACCTGGATGGAAAGTTAATGTAAGTCCTCCGACTCTTAATGAAGTGGAAAAGGCTTCAAGAAATCTAAGGAGAGGGAGAGAAGCAAAAAGTTAGAGTAATTTTTGCGTCATTTATGGAGTAGGCGAGATATCCGTCTACTAATCAAAGCACGAGTCTACAGTGCAGCGATTCGCTCCATCCCTCTTTGGGTATGTGAAACATGGCCATTAAGAATAAAGGATATTTGTAGGTTACTTGCATTCGACCATCGGTGTCTTAGAAGTATTGCTCGTATATCTGAGGAACAGAGAGTAAGCAATAATGGTGCTGGGAAAGGTAAGAATGGTAGATCAAGTGGTGAAGTAGTGAATCTTGATTAGTTGAGGTTCTTTACTTATACCTAACCACCTACCACCTCGACGAGTGATGTTTTGTGATGCAGGGGTAGGCGGGAAGAAAGCTAAGGGTGACGAAACCAAAACATGGCACAAACCACTGACAAACAGATTGAGCCATGGTAACAGTTGCAGATTATTTAGTTGAGGTCCGCGTGAGAACCTCAACCGGAGCTTACGAACTTTGAATGACATGGCTTATAATCGTTTGTGGTGGCGCAGGTGCGTCCATTCACTGTCTTCCCTAAAATTCTAATCTTCTGTATTCCCCATGACCTCTTTTCTCTTTTTGAATTCAACTCACCGGATTATGTGTGTCAAAACCTGCTAATATTGCTACTACACAAACCACTAAGGGATTTGAACTGAGAGTTCGATCTCTCTGTGCTAGTGTGGTATAGCAACTTGAACTGATGTACGTACGTACCACGTTCTACATTGTAGCCGACTGACTTTGAACCTTAAAACCATCTCTTCAATGATGATACGCTGATTATTTCGAAATATGATTTATTAATTACTTAAAGATTAATCATGGATTTTAAACTGTCTTCTAACAAATGGGAAGTTTATTGGAAAACATATCCACCTAAACATTACTTGATAAATAAGAAAGGATGGAAGTACTTCTAATCATTTAACTACATATTGTGTGATGTTGTAAAAGCAATTCCAGTGTAGTCGGAACATAAATCAAGCTAGCATGACTTTCGGTTCATAAAATAAACGATAACTAATAACGCTCCTCGTATTGTGATGTTTTATTCATGATTTTCTATCGAGTCATATTGGAAATATTTATTTTACATATTAATATCAATTTAGAAGTTAACTATATTTAATAATTCATATTTAGAGATTTAAAAGAATTCACTATCATTTCTAAGTTTGCAGCATTTATCTCTAATGAGAAAAATACCATCATTCACATATGTGGTAAATCAGTAAAACATAAAAACGCTGTTGAAACAAAAATAATTTTCACAAGTTATAAAACACTGTTCAAAATGTGAAAAACATGCAGTCAATTTGTCAACAAATACCGATCAATGAAATAAGTAGGGCTTGTCGTAAAAGAGTACAGTGTGAAATCTTAATAGCATCAGGCTACCTACTATGTTTCTATTGGAATTTTATGAAACTATCTATTAAAAAGTCGACACCTTCTTACTTATCTTTCAGATGTAGCAGATTCAATAGGGATGTTTGGTTGTAATATAAACAAAAGGCTTTCTGTTTGGGTGTTAGGTGATGAATAAAACCTTTGAATCGAATCTAGTGTAAGTTTTAGCCTGAAGAATAGCTTCTAATGAGATTTAAGAATATGCAATTGTTTACCAAGTGAACTAAATCTTGATTTGATGGTTTAATACAACGTCGCCTCTGTTTATCGAACTGACTATATTGTTTACTAGTATTCGCAGTGGAAAACGTTGTTAGTTGTACGGTCCTAAAGCTAAAAATGAGACAAATAATCAATTAAAAGACAAACTTTAATTAAATTCTTATCAAAATTAGGATAGTTTGTCTTATAACTGTGAAAAATGTCACATTACATACTAGTTACAAGCACCCAGGAAAATCTGTACATTCGGCTTGATGAGTTAAAAAACGGTTATAATAAAAGATTTATTTAAAAACTTTCCAACAAATTAACAAGTTACAAAATGCTACTCAGTTCATGGAACATGAATTACCGGCAAAATTCTAGTTTCAGTTATGCTGCAGAAACCTGTTCAGAAATCCTGTTATCTAGTGGGTTACGGAAAGGCAATAAAGAAACATTAAATTCAAAATATCATGACGTTTTGGGGCACAAGAAGTATCATCATAGCAATGAATCATTGTTCATATACTCGATAAGATTCTAAAAAGGGAAAAACAGACAGAAAGCGATCAATAACAACCGGACGCTGGCATAAAAAGCCAAGATAAAGGCGAATACTCAAAACTAAACGAGTGATAAAGAGCATCAACACTTAAATACGGAAAACCAAGAAAAAAGCTGCAGGAATAGGAAATATGAGACAACTATACGATACAACGAAGAAGTTAGCTAGAAAGTATAACAAACTCGAACAAACTGTTATTAATACAGAAAGCAAATCGGTCACTGGGATCCAAGCACAGCGAAACAGATGGGTAGAGCAAAATGAAGAACTCGCAAACAGATCAGCCCCACTAAACCTACCGGTCATTGAAGCAACACCTACAAACTAGCCGCTTGATTTTAATCCACGAACAATTGAAGGAGTCAGAACGACCATGAGAAAGATAAAGAACGGGAAAACAGTATTTTCAGGATGAATACCAGATGAGGTATCATAAACAGACTGGAAAGAAGGATACCTCATTAAGATACCAAAGAAAGGAGATCTTAGCAACTGTGAGAACTACAGAGGAATCGCTCTAATATCATTAAAAGAAAAAGGCTAAAGGGGTGTTGTTGAGCCGAAAGAAAGATTCAGTAGACGCTCGAACTCGATGCTAACAGGTTTGATTGCGTAAAGATTGATCATGTATCAACACTAAGGATCACTGTAGAACAATCAATCGGATGGAACTCATAATTATACATCAATCTCCTTGACTATGAAGAAATACTTGATAAAATGGATAGAACCTTGTGAGGCCCTCTTTGACACCTCCAGAAATTGTTGCCATTATACGAAATTCTTACTGAATACAGTGCATAGTTGCGCATCGAGGGTGACTCATAGATGCATTCTAATTTAGACAAAGCTGCTCACTTTCGTCCCTTCTCTTTCTCCCAGTAATTGGCTGGATCATGGAAACCTCAACATTTCAGGGGAAGCACGGAATACAGTGGATAGCTCGGATACAGCGAGATGATTTGAACTTCATAGATGAACTAGCTATTTTATTTTATACACAACAACAAATGCAGGTTAAGATGATTAGCTAATTTTGTTTATATGTTAAACTGCGGTAGACAACAGAGAATGTACTGAATGCCAATGGAATTTAATTAAAGTTTGGAGTATACTGTTCATGATTCTGTCAAGATATGAACCCAACAAGTGAAACAGCATAAATCCTCTGAATTTAGCTGAGGAGACATTAAATCCTTAAGCAATATAGCGATAGTGATGCCTCAATTCTAGCACTAGCCACAATCCAACCATTCTATATTGACTTGTATGATAATAGTTGTATTTAGGCAATAAATACAAGATGTACCTGTGCTAATCAATACTGATTACATTCCAGTCAAAATATCCATTAAAAACCGGATGATTCAAAATCACTAAAGTAAAGTCAGTCAGATGGAACGTACATAAGTATGTCAGTACAGGTTGCCATACCACATCAGCATGGAGATGCAACTATCTATTCAAATCCTATAGCCGTAGAGATAGTAGGAGTACTACTGGTAATAGAGAGGGTTAGGGTTCCAAGATATTATTCAACAAGTATAATTCAGTGAGATAGGTTTAGAAAGACAAAACTAGAGGTGTTGAAGAATCCAAAAGATTAGGATTTGAGAGAGCACAAAGAATGGATGCACCTGCGCCATAGCAAACGATTCTGAGCCATGTCGTTCAAGGTTTCTAACCATCGGTTACTATCGTCTTGCGGACCCCAACCAGGTAGCCTACATCTACCAACATGACTCAGTTCACTTGTCAGTGGTTTTATGAATTTCTGCCATGTTTGGTTTGGCCGCTCCTGGCTTTCTTTCAACCTACTCCTACACATCAAAACAAAGATCGTCGAGGCAGTCGGTGGTTAGCCGTACGTAACACATATCCCAACCATCTCAACTGATGAAGTTTCACCACTTCATCTATTGATCTGCCATCCTTACCTAGTACTCGCCTCCTAATGGCACCTTTGTTTACTCAGGTGTCCAACGATACACGAGCAATGCTTCGAAGACATCCTTGATCGAATACTAGTAACCTACGAATATCTTCTACCCTTACCGGCCATGTTTCGGATCCATATAGTAGAACGGAGCGCACTGCTGCGCAGTACACTCGTCCTTTAGTCAGCAAACGGATATCTCGTATACGCCATAAATGACGTAAATTGGCAAAAGCCAATCGAGCCTTCTGTATCCGAGCTGAGATTTCGTCAGTCACCAGGCCATCAGCACTGACGAGACTTCCGAAATAAGTAAAGCAGTCGACACGCCCAACTACTTCACTCTCGATCACTAGTTCAGGTGCTGTTAGTCAGTTGATCAAGAACCAACAAAGCGAAACAAATATCCTAGTTCCAAATGAATTAAAAAAACAGCTAGTGAAATATTTAAAACATATAAATTTAACAAGGAATAATAGCGTAAAAATTTTCGATGCAGTGAATTTATGACATGGATACTCTTATATCAACCATGAAAATCCTTTGATCAAACGCTGAATTAATTAAAATCATAACAACTGGTCATAATATTTTTTACTTCATTAGCTTTTTTATACAAAGAATTTTAACAAAGTGGTCAGTAATTTTTTTCCTTAAATATAGTGATAAAAATCACATTAAACAACAAAATTATACGATATAAATTAAAAAAAACAAATGAATTGAAAATTTAAATAATTTATTAAAAAAAAAAAAGTGGGTATGCACTGTGGAAATATACAAAAGATATTTTGTTTGTCCGAAAAAAAAAGTAGTTGAACAGAATGGTGTACAAGGAGAAAAAAAGCAGAAAAAGAGGATAAAATCAAATAGGATAAACCGTTGATAGAAGGTAACGCAAATTAAGGAGATAGATAATTGTCATACTAGGAGAGTGGGAGACAGAGATTACACAAAGATCCCCACAGCCATAATATGAATAGAGTAGGTTTGTCAGCAAGTTATGTAAAACATATCACAAATGTAAAAAGTATCATTTAAAAAAAACAACAAGTTACGTGTCAATCAATTATGTCCTATTCAATGATGTTACATTTTTACCGATGTTGTTGTTGGCAGTACTATTCGCAATATTTGAAGTGTGAACATTGTTGTTACTAGTACTATTACTAAGATCAATATCAGTAGTATTGTTACTAGCTTCTGGACACAAATGTGATGGAGCAAGAAATTCACCATAAAGTCTTAAAAGATGATGCAAAGCTATGGCCATCTGATTATTTCCACCAACTACAAGAATGCAATCAACAATATGAGGATATAATTGAATTATACTGGACCAGATTGAATCATCCACTGTATACGGGAGGATTGAATCAGATGTTGAAAAATGTATTGACGAGACAGGAAGGAACATAAAAAAAAATGTACAGAATCGGAAAAACATTATTATGAACGTGGGAATAATTTTCAATAACAATGTATAAAGAAAAAATTGTTTATTTCAACTAATTAATAAAATGTATTGTGCTTAACATATGATAAGATTGCATTACTTTTCCTAGTTATCGATAGAGACAAAAATGATTTTATTTGTAAGGTTAGTAGCTATTTTAAGTTAGACATTAAACGTGGTTCATAATTTTCAATTTAACAAGAACAATAAAGATGTTAATGTTGCTGATCATCTATAAACGAGGTTGATTACCAGTAATAAATATACTTAAAAGTGTATCTAAATCAATGAACTGAAAAATGTGTTCAAAAGTTGACAGAAACAGATAAAAAAAATAAACTGATGATGCTAACAAAATATGATGGAGTTGTAGTAGTAGTAGTAGTAGATGAGATATACTTTCATTGCACAGTCGATTTTCCCAAAATTTACTCATTATCTTTGTGTTAGTTTCAATTATAATATCAACTGATAATGCATAAGCACTAGAAACTATCACCAATCATAATATCTATCTATTCAATCTATTGTTGTACATAAATTGTATTTACGACAGAATAATGACACTTGATGTTGAATATCAAAATATTCGCTTCATTAACCAAACACTGTAACAGGTAATCAATATTACGCACATCATTTTCAATTCATGTATTTTCAACAAGCTTTATATTAACTCCCTATATCCTACCGAATGTAACAATATTTTAGTTATCAAGTTGGAAATTTTCAGCAACAAAAAATAAACCATTTCACTGAAACATTTTTTATTTTATCTATAAAAGTAGTATGATAAACTTGTCTTTATGGTTGTATTAATCGCTTTGTAAAATGAGACTATTTTGTAGCTGATTAAAAAAAAAAACGTTTTGAGTTTAAGTTAAATGCAATTTAAGTTGCAATTCTTATTAAATTGTAAACTCAGTAGTGGTAAGTGGTTTGAGGTATAAAGTGAAACTGATTCGATTACATAATCCGGTAGCATAATTAATGACTGGAGTAAAATTAAGGTGTATTTTGTACTTAACTTCTGAAATTATACATTTACATCATCAATCGATCATTGTTAGACCACTATTAGAGACCTGAAAGCACTGGACGGCCGTTTCTTCCTGGTATGGGACTCATCAGCAGTGCGCATCCATGACCTTACGACTCTCTAGACTGATTAGAGTTAGACATTAACACCACTGGATGCCAGTCCAGTGTATCAGAGGTTAGGCGTTCGCATGCCAGACCGAGGGTCCTAGGTTTAGGGGTGGCTGATGCGCACTGCTGATGAGTCCCATAGCAGAACGAAACGGCCGTCCGGTATTAGCAGGTTCCTAATAGTGGCCTAACAATGATTCATTGATGATTTCAATGTGTAAAATTATTAATCTCCATAACTCTAATTGAAAATTCCAATTATATCAAAATCCATCTCTTAAACTATTCATGGTCTTATATTTTAAGAACGAATTATTCAGAAAGTATCTTTTTGATTTTCGTAAAAAACAAATCATTTTCATCTATATGACCGTAGAGAATGTTTGCATCGCAGTAGGGTGAAGAATAACCAAGGTCATTGATTCATCAGAGCATGAATTTAAAAATGACTGAATATTTTTTTAATTTTGATGATTACCTAACAGTTTTTATGAAACTAGTACGGTTTAAGAAATGAAGGTTATTCAAGTGATTATCCGGAAAAAATAAACACAACTGGACGTTTATTAAATATAATTTTGCGCAAAATTACAGATAAAATAAACATTTCAGTTAGATATTTTAGTGATTTTTACTATTAATATTTGCTTAGAAATCAGACATTGATAAATAACAACGTTTAAAACAAGGCTTTTCATATTAACGAAATTTATCCGCCTAGTTTGTTTACTGAATTCACAAACACTAGAAACAAACAAACCTCATTAAAAAAAACAGAAACACACCAAAATCAATGTTTCACTTACCATCATGTTGAATTGGAACAGATCGAAGTGATGTTAACATAATTGTCAATGCTTTGAATACATAGCTAATTTCTGATAAACGAGCACTGTGGACAGAAAGAAAGTCAGAGAGAGAAAGAAAAGTATGAAAAAGAAACGGAAAGGTATAATGTGTATTTATATTATATGAATGGAGAGTGTGAGGAAAAGAACTTGCACACTAAGTATATCATTTAATTGACAGGACAATAGCAAATTTATGAATGCTTAACATTGAGTATCTAAAAAAAAACGCAATGCTTCCGTTTTATTTTCAATCGTAGAAGCAAAAAAACTTTTCAAATCCGACAGGTGAACATTTAATATTTTTTTAAACCAGATTTCATAACTATATGTACCGTATAAGAGGAAACTTCCGGGTAATAGTAAAAACAGAAAAGTACATATTGATCTGTTGTATAACAGAGAGAAGTTGAATTTTCATCTTGCTTAACCACTTATCATTAACACAGAGTGCCTCAGTAGTTATTTCGAAACGTGAATTACATGAAAAGGGAGAATTCAATTATATATCAGTTAACATGATAGTATTTATATAAATAATTACAGCTAGAATATAAGTGTTTTATGTGCTTAGAATGCATCGAACACTGACCTATATAGAACAATGTAACTCATGATATATAGTTTAATAAAATTTATAAAAAAAATGAAGCTAATTTACTTTTCTAAATCGATAACTTAATAAGTGATTAGTATCGATACTCACCGAGGTAGTGGACATTTTCCAATTAATCGCGACGACTGATAAAATTTAATCAATATCGAACGACATCGTTGAAGAATACTACGTACAGCTGTTTTACTAACCATAAGTGAAAAATTTGTATTCAATGGATTCATTTTATAACCATTAGTATTTTCAACATGCCCATTCTCTAATGACACTGGTGTTAATGTAGTTGAAGATAATCTTCGATCTGAAGGAGTTGAAAAAGCATGTGATAATAATTTGCCAAAACATAAACGAGAAAAATTTTCTCGAAACGTCAATTGTCTCAAACGATCAAGATCAATGTCCCAGTTCAAAGATTCATTTATAAGTGCATCTTGAGGTAGTGAGGTTATCGAATTCAATTGGCGAACAGCTCGACCTAGTCCTTTAGACAATTTTATCTCATTGTGAGATTCATTAAAAAGACGGTAGGTAGTAGATGGTTGATTATTTGAATGATTGATAAAATTATGTTGATTTGATGATATATTCAGATCATAATCTTCATTGTTGTTATTACCACTATTCACTTCATCATTAGGAATTACATTAACTGGAATAGCCGATTGAACAGAACCCAAACTGAGTAAATTAATTAAACGACTAATGAAAAATTCTGGTAATTGAGCAGGATTTGACAAGAATAAATCGCTGATTAAATCTACAAACTAAAATTTTACCCAAAAATTAATAATAAAACGGGAGAGAAAAATACAAACAAAAATTGAAGAATATGAAAAAAAAAACAAACATTAGTAGACAAACTTCAAAACATAATAATGCCATAAATTGTAAAATTATTGTTTTTTTTTCGTTCATTTAGAAAATTTCAGCTTTTTACTTAATGAAGCATAAAACAGAATGTTACATTTAGATTTAAACTATGTACTTTTTTTTCAATAGCCAATAATAAGAAACAAGTTCTAATTGGCTAATGTTAGTGTTATCTTATTCATTCATGAAATAAAATTACCTTACATAGAAGTACTCTCAATAAAACTATAATATTCCGGGCTATTCTAAACCTTAATAAGTTAAGGAATGGGATGGACTGGTTATAGTCGCGGTGTGTGATATATATGAACAGATTTATAATGATTTGTGCAACTGCTTGTAAAAGTGTAGTTTAATCAACTAGAGGAAGATACACCCTATGAATTATAGGTAAAAAGACATAAATAGCGCAGTTATACACATATAATGATGGTCTTCAAAAACTAATATACAATAAATTCTTGAAAATAAATGATCTTATCATGTGGTATGATAGCTTGCTTTCCTCTTGGATGTCATAAAAAAATTAAAGAAATTTTACAATTTCAGTATTACATAATGCCTTGTTCTATCATTATGACTTCTAACCATAAAAACATTTCTCTTGCTATGGAGTAGTATAACATATAATAAATACCGTAACTATGTTTTAATCATATATTTTGTATTCTATTTTTTCCTAAATGCTGATTTCCGGTTACATTTCAACTGTATTAATCCAAATATATTCAACTTCTATTCATAATTATACTACTCTACATGAAAAGCTGTGAAATATGAATAAATTTGCTCTCATTATATGTATCAAAGGATTAAGTGGTACGATATACCAATAGATTAATTGGATTTTGTTAGCATTCTATTGAACTGATCGATTTTTCATCAAAGTTTAAGTTTGACTAACACGTGAGAAACAGTTACACTAATGATAATCATAACAATAGTAATAACAATAATGACTGCGATAATAATAATGATAATTATGTTCAGATAGTATAATCAATTGAAAATTCATGAAACATACACTTTCTTCTCTTAGATCTACTGTCAAAACTCTTATAACAGTAAGTGTGATTAAAACAAAAATACAAAATATCCATACAGTTAACTAACTTTACAGTCTAATTCTTCATGTAGCTGAAACTCTTCAGTTGATAAGGATGATAGTGGTTGACTGAAGGTGTAATTGGTACAGAGAAATTAATAGGTAAGTACATAATAAAAAAGCGTTATCGTGAATATATATATATATATATATATATATATATATATATATATATATATATATATATATATATAACAAGACAATTTAAACTGTTAAGAAATCTATTTCATTGATGTAGTAAACACATCTGTTTACAACAGTGAGAAATGATCCAGGAAAGGTTCATTTTCACAAACTTACTGAGCTGTCTAATAATTTTACGAAACATTGTCGTTTGAACTAACAACAATTGGTTTGTATTTCTACTCAACAGTATTCGAGATAGAGTGAAGATAACTTTGCTCACGTTAACATCGTAACCAGTAAACTTTAAATACAGTGACTTGTAATTAATGAAGTCTTGGTTCGATGAAGATGTCGATACATTAATATATCACTATATTACTTCAGTAGTTTGTATAAAATTAACTGAATAACAATTAAAATAATTCAGTAAACTGACTAGATTGTTTTCTATATATTTATTCATTTGACATAGACGACTTGATTCCAAGCAAAGCTATGAAGTGAGTTCCTTCAATCAAATAGCGTAATAGCCAACAACTATATGAATACAGTTTCTGAGTTATCAAGGATAAACATTTGTTTAAAACAAGTTTGAGTAGTCAAGTTTGAAATCGCATAGACCTTAAGGATCAGTATCAGAGTGACTGATAGTTCCCTACATTGATGTTGAAAAGGCTTCGAGCAAAAAATGAATATCTTATACGATATAAATATGGCAACATGTCAGGGAGACAAAATGCTCGATAATGAGAATGCCAGTAGTAGTCTGAAGTATGTTAGCAATGCCATACAGGTCTTGACAACTTATCATAAGTTCAAATTAAGACGTACAGATTTGCTTTCGTAATTTCGCATTTTCATTAAAACCAATTTTATGTGCACTACTAATTTTAATTTTCTCAACTTTAAAAAAAACATTACGCGTATATGTAGTACCGTAGAGTGGATAACCGAAATCAAAACAATTAACTGTGTTTCTTGATTTGGGATGAATCAGAACTTTAAAAAAGGTGTTTATTAATGTTTAGTATTGATCAGCAAAAAACTAACAATGTCAGCTTAAGCATAAAAGTATGTTCCGGCTTCTTTACACTATCTATTTGCTTTTGTAGCTAAGGAGATCTCATGTTATCTAGTTTTTTTTTGTGAATTCACACTAGTATCATTTCTGTAGGAATAAACGAGACTAATTATTTTCTGATTCTTGTCTTCATTTTGACATTTACCACTATCGTATTAGCTATTATTGTCACTTTTTTCTATATAACATTGTTCTACATTAAATTTGTCTCCATTACTAGCAAGCTTTTTGTGAACTGCTGACTTTTTCCTGTCTTCTATGGTGTTGACAACATAATTAAAGTGTTGTATGTCATTTCCTTAAATTTATAGAATACAATTTGAAATCCAATTTCATATTACGTTAATCAACTAATCATAGGTAATTGGCAATTATCTCATAACTTTTAACAGACTACTCTCTCTATATTGGGATTGAGAAGTGATGGTTTTTTTTTAAAAAAAAAATCGACTAATATACACATAAGTAATAAAATTGTAACGATAATGCTTAATTTAATTTTAGAAAAAAAAAAGTTAATATTCCCTAAAACTTTATTCTCATTACAATCGATAGGATACCTAAATGAATTTCATTCATGAAATTCCTACACATAATTAGTTAAATATAAAATTTTTCAAAAAATCATAATCAACTTTACGCAAATTACAATTCTATCAAAATTTTGTTGTATAACAACAACTAAGTTAGATGATATTTTTTTTATTTGATGGAGTATTTATAAATAGAATGATTGAATTTTTCTTCAACATTGGAGAGTAAGACAAATCTCTCACACATTGCATATATATATATATATATGTGCGTGTGTGTTATACCATAGATGAAAATGTTTCCTAAGCATTTACTTTTTTTAAACAATTTTAATGCAAATCACTCATGCGTTTCATATATATATATATATATATATAAGACTTACTTTTGACAAAAAAGAAAATCCTGAATAGCATCCACAATATGTTTGCATAAATCATGATTTGATGATGTAACTGTGTAACGAATGAAGAGAATAAGAGTACAAAAGAAAAAGATTATCATGAATAATTATTGGTTTGGTAACAGCTTCATACATACAACAACGACAACTTTTTGAAGCTAACAATTCACACTTCATTGAAATCTATCTCTTTTTCAAATTGATGATTACAAAAATAAGGAGATATGTAATTATTATAGGGAAATAGAAATTATTTTTCTTTTATACTGTGAAAATAGAATACTTCTTCTATGTGATGAGAACAAAGTATGCGGCTTAGAACTGAAACTAATTGAATACTGTAAGACCACAATATCATTGTCAGTGGTGACTTGTGTAGTAAACGATTTGCGATTAGGGAAACGTTACAATTTGTTTGCGGATTAGGTTTTATGAAAAACATGTGAATTGTTCAACTAATGCCTGAAATGCACCGATGGATCAATAAAGAAAGGAATGTCGATTGACAGATGATATGCAATGATACAATATATGATTGAGTGATGACCACAAAACACATAAGCTATAAGCCAGAAGAATACATACTTTTAATCTAGTTCAATAATAATATGCTTTCATAACAAATAATCAAGACAAAAATAATATGAACAGATGCAATTAACAAATGAATAAAAAAAAATCAATTTTGTAGGTCAATCATACTACAATGAATAGGAGGAATATGACTTAATTCAGCTTAATTCAATCTCGTCGTATTAATATGGTGGAAGAGAGAAATAGAGTGAGTGAAAGAATCACTGATCGTTTCAAGGATTTTCAATACTCAAGTAAAACATCAGATGTTTAGTAAACATCGAAGTGATAAGCAAAATTTGTATTTGGATAATAAACTCCAAACAAATTAAAGAGAGAGAATGAGATTGATTGTATCACAACTAATTGAAGTTCACAAATATTCTCAGAAAACGACAAAAAATATTTTTTATCGGATAGTTCGATATCAAATAGAAATCGGTTCGGTCATTCTAACAGAAACAAAATACTTGCATCTGTATAGTTGCTACTGCTATTGTCTCGGAATCTTTAGATTCACTGTCAAACCATAACAAAGTATGTCAACCGAAAAATTTCTATCAGGAAATAAATATAATAAATGGTCTAGTGAACTGTAAGTTTATGGAACTACTCATAGCTTAACTTGTTAGTGTATATAAAAAAACAAAAACAAATTCGGCCCGTAGTATAGACTCTTATTTAGGCGTGTTAGCTCTTATGACGTATAGGCCACCGACCACCATTCTCCAACCTACTTTGCCTTCAATTCCAGTTCCACCCAATCGCCAATCATTTTTTTATGTCTATCTCCAATTCTAGACACAGCATGTTTCTTGATCTTCCTCCTTTTCCTCGGTCTGGAGGATTCACATACTGACGCAGCTGGGCGATTTACTCAATGTGTGTCCTGTATACCTCCACGCTTTTCCCTAGAGTTTCTTCACCTGGAAGCTGGTTTGTTCTATCCCATTGTAGATTGTTACTGATGGTTTATGGCCAAAGGATAAGAAGTATCTTGCGTAGACAACTGTCAATAAACACCTAGATCTTGTGGATGACAGCTTTCGTGGTCCTCCGAGTTCCTGCTCCATACAGCCTTGACATTTTCAATGACAATTCTGACCTTCGTGTTTGTTGATAATTGTTTTGACTTCCAGATATTCTTCAAATGTAGAAATGGTCCCTTTGTTTTGCTGATTCGCGTCTTTCCATAGACATCAGATCCACCTTATTTATCAATGATGCTGCTCAGTAGTAGTTATGTAAAAGCTTTAAAATCTTCCAGAGCTTTCCCATCAAGTGAGATTTGATTTGTGCATATTGCATTGTTACAGAGGATCTCCCTTTTTCTCTAGAGTATGTTGAAACTTACTGCTACAGAGGCTGCTGCTATACAGACCGTCCTCTCCTGTATTTGTTGTTGTGTTTCGGATAAAAGGGATATGTCAACTGCGAAATTTAAATCGTCCAGCTGCATCTGAGCTATCCATCGTATTCTGTGCTTCCATTAAGATGTTAACGTCTTCATAATCCATTCGACCACCCGCAAAAAGAGAAAAAGTGAGAGTAAGCAACTTTTTCTGACAGCGGTCTTCAATTAGAACGAGTCAGTGAACTCTTCTCCATGCAGATTTAGACTACATCAATTATATCTCAGATAATAAATCAAATTTATAATGTTTTAAAGATTTGGAGTTCATTTAAACAAAATGCATGAATAAAGACAATCAGAAATACATTGAATAGGTGAGAAAATAAGAGAAAAAAAAGAAGAAAAATAAATGAACATTATCATTATCATTTTGAACCAATGATAAAATAAAAAAAAACCTTTTGTAACTGATTACCATTTCCGTCATCTGAATGAGCATCTTTCTTATTGAAATTATAAGTTTTTGTTTTGTTCATTGATTGATTTGATACAACGAAAACACCAGCAGTAATCACTTGGAAAAAACATCGACATGCAAGTATCCATGTAGTCTGTGATGGACATGCATATTTCAATGCCATTGGTTGATGTAGAGTCTATAAATGAAATAACAATTAAGAAGAAGAAGAAACAAAAAAAAGAAGGTGAGGATGCATACAAAGAGAGGATTAAAAAGTAGCATATATAAAAAGAAAAAAGTATCTATCACATGCTATTAGAATACTTTAGAAATAAAATGATTCAATGAAATCAAATAAAATGTGCACGTAAATTGAATAATGAATCTACGATAAAAAAAAAGAATTGAAAAATTGACTGAGAGTATGTTTAGAAAAGTATTATTTATCACTTTGATGTATATTTTTTGATCATACAAGCATAAAAGTGGAATCACTGAATGAGCGAAGGACGAGAGAACAGTATTTTAAAATGCACACTTGAGTACAAAGAGTTCAAATTACTCTTAATTGACTGATAAGTTGAGTATAATTATTCACTAATACTATGCCATACCGTTCAGTGTATAGGCCCGCGGTGTGAGATAAAGTTATATAGGAGCTGCGTCTGTCGATTCATTATGACACCGTAGTTATGAGTCATCAAGATAGTGTAACTCAACAGATTGAAACGTTATCACATATGGCTCAGAATTTAGAAAGGTAAAAAATACTTTGTTAGTTTGCGCTTACATTCTTCATAAATGTAAGAGAGGCTTCCTTAACAGAAAAAAAATTTTTTTATACAGGATTTCCAATTATAAAGTATTCTTGTTCACTTATTTTTGTAATTTTTCTATTCCTTTCCCTTGAATTTTTTTAAAAATATGAACACTATTTGCATGATAGATTTTATTGCTGGCATCTATTTGTACATGATTTTAGGTGTATTAGGTAAATGTGAGTTAATTAATTTTTCCATATTATTAATTTTAGAGCCTATACACTGAGTTCGATTATCTGAATGAACAAGACGAAAAGCATAAAAAGATATATGATATCAAAAGCACTAGAAATATAACAAATATGATTCAGCTTAAATAAGGACGGCATTTTTAAAATTGAACAACTGGAACTCGAAACAACTATCAACAAACGCCAAAATCAGAATTTCCAACACAAATGTCAAGACAGTTCTACTGCATGGAGTGGAAACTTGGAGAACTACGAAAGTCATCATCCAGAAGATACAAGTATTTATTAACAGTTGTCTACGCAAAATACTTCATATTCGTCGGTCAAACACTATCAGAAACAACCTATTGTGGGAAAGAACAAGCCAGATTCCAGTGGAAAATGAAATCTGGAAGGAGCGGTGGAAGTGGATAGGACACACACTGAGGAAAGCACCGAACTGCGTGACAAGACAAGCCCTCACTTGAAACCCTCAAGGTTAAAGAAAAAGAGGAAGTCCAAGGAACACATTACGTCGAGAAATGAGGACAGACATAAGAAGAATGACCGAAAATTGGACAGAACTTGAAGAGGGGAAGCCCAGAACAGAGTAAATTGGAGAATACGGATCGGCGACCTATGCTCCACTGGGAATAACAGGCGTAATTAATTCAGTAATGCAACAACATAGCGATACAGGAGATTAACGAACCGAGGAATCGAATAAGATATTTTAATAATGAGATTATAGTATCCAATGTCCTTAAAATGATCCAGTATTGTCAACTGAATATTCTTTATAGCTCGAGTAAACTTAGTCAATATTAATCATAGTATTCTTGAACAGTTAGCTCATGTGTGTAATTCTAAAATTTTAAAGAAGAACCGTAACTAACAGAGTTCAAACAGATCGGATATGAAGCAGTTACTTTTCGAAGTTAGTCATTTACACTGTTGAACTCAAGCTCAATAGTCTACAGTTCAAGTGTTCGCACGTTCAGGGTTTGATCATCTGTGATTGGATCATGCATGCACACTGCTTGTGAGTCCTATAAAAGGATGAAGCAGTAATTTACTGCTTCTATCTTATCAACGGAAGTCTAGCTTAGGTTAGTTCAGCGAAATCGAATGAGAAAAAAGCAAATAATATGAGAATACAACTATACGGCTGAAGATAAGATTTTCTAAAAACAAACCAATCAATGATCAAAAGTTAAAAATGTTGAGAAGATAAGAAAAATAAACAAAGGTCGAATCTTCTTTGTCAATTATCATCGAAAGATAACGACAACAATAACAATATGTGATTTTAGCAATCATTAGAATTTTACTCGATTAAATAATAATAGTCAAAAATCTATTTAAAGAAAAAATAAATACATATATTCACGATAAATAGTGAATATTTTATTTCAATATATAAATCATCTACAAAATTAATTATCAATCAAATAAAATTTGAAAAAATAAACTAACTTCAATTATTGAGTCAAGTATTTCAACATTGAACATTTCAGGCCATGTAACAGTTGTTTGATATAAATCCACAGCAATTAATAAAGATTTTTCAGCAAATACAATATAATTGAGTGGAACAACATCAAACTATCAAATAAACAAATGTTAAAAAGTAAAAAAAAACAAAAGACATTAGGCAATCAAACTGAATTGATACCAATTTGGCTAATTTATTATTTATCATAAGAAAGAATATTTAACCGTTCAGACAATCAGAACTATTAAAATAGTAATTGAAATTTCCACACACTATTGATTAGAGAATAGTGTTAAGTAATGTTAACAGCATCAAGCTAACATTCTTATGTCTTTCCAATGACTTTGAATAGCTTATTATGCAATCATTTGATTCTTCCGACAAAAGAACGTTTTGGCCTAGTGATCCAAAGGTCAGGCGTTCGTGCACAATACCGAAGGTCCTAGGTTCGAATCCTGCCAGGTGCAGGAGTCGTGGATGCGCACTGTTAGTGAATCCCATAACAGGACCAAACGGCCGTCCAGTGCTTCCAGGTTTCTAATGCTGGTCTAACAATGATTGATTGATGATTTCAAATGTGTAAAAAACACTAATCTCCATAACTCTAATTGAAAATAAAGAAAAAGTCATTTAACATTGCCATGTGAAAAAATTCACCTTAACCGTAAGTCGGAGAAATTAATTGTATCGATTGGTCAGTAAATGTTCATAGTTAAATGACAAAGATGAAAAATAAAATAAAACTTTTTTTTAAAAAAAAGAAACTTCGATAAACAAAATGGATATAGGATGAATTAAGGTGATATTTGTTAATGACCAACTTGATATGTATAAAACTGATGTGAAATAAACTAACAACACAAACTAACAAATAAATCTATTTGACCTTAAGTTATCATCAGACTCTGCAGGCCAGAAAAAAATGTGTTTATCATATAGCCAAATGAATGTAGAACAGATAAGAACATGTGAATCTTTGAAAATATTACCTGGTTTCTAACTAACTTAAACAATCAAATTATTTTACATGATATAGAAGTATTCACCCAAATGAGCCGTTGATAAACGAACATATCCAAATCAATAAAAAAACTTATTAAATTATTTTCTATTGGTATAAAATATGCAATTAATTATAAGACAATAAGTTAAATATTTATAATAGGATCGTACGTGCGTATATCAGTTCAGGTTGCCATATTGTATTAGCTACAGAGATGTAACTGTCAATTCAAATCTTATAAATATATCAATTAATTCATCTCCAATGATCATTAATAATCATAAAACTCACACGATAATTATCTGCATGATCTGGTTTGGGTATTCGAACAGCATAACCAGCTAGTGTCAACAGCAATTGTAATACACGTGGAAGTAGTGAAACGGAATGGTTGTTGGTCATACTGTTATTAGCATTATGATGTGCATCTTTATGTCGATCAGAACTAAAATTCTATAAATAACCACAAAAAAAGAGAGAAAATTAGGCCAATACAATGCAAAACCAAATGAAAAGCACGTTCACTTATATAGAAAGAAAAATAATAATTCAGGCATGAACAGTTAAACTGTATACGATTTCTTCTCTTTTTTTTTAACCGAAGTTTTATAAAACTTAAAGAGAAATAATTCAAGTAAATTTGGAAAAAAAGGTAGAAAATGACTATAATTATCTATCTTTTTATCTAAATAAAGTGTTTGTTATGGGTGACGGATACTAAAATACAGAAATAATTTGAATTAACTGACAGAATGTGTTCATTTTTAACCACATACAAAATTCAACTCATAATTTTTCAATGCTCAGCAGTAAATGAAAGAGCTCAGTAGTTAGCATTTTAAATCTTCATCGAATTACTATGATAGTTCAGTGGATAGACCAAGAAGATTTTAATGAATAAGTTGCAGGTTCAAACCTCCTTCTATTTACTTTGATTTTATCAGCTGGGAAGTTTCGTTGGCTTTCAGAGAAATAAAGTAACTCAAAATCTAGTGTATTTTACGTGTGCTTTATAAAATGAGTTACATTAACACATTGATTTGTGATATACTTCACATTGTAGATAAATCTAGATCTTTTCGGGTGATCTATCATATACTTCTAAATCACATGTTAGTTAACCATAGAGTGATCTGTTTCACACTTTATTTTTATTACAGATTCTGATGAGAATCTAGACAGTAGTCTTCCTGCAGAAAGAAACTATTACACGGTGAGAAGTGATTATTTGAGTGAGAACACTATCTAGTTAAATAAGTCAATGGTTGAAAACGGTCATATAATTGGTCATTTAAGCGAAAAGATTATCACAAGTGTGATTTGTATTAATGAACCAAACAAATAAAATGCACTTAAATTTCTAGTCAACTTAGCGTACATTCACACTTCATATAAGCACTATTTATAAATAATTAACGATAGCGCTAAGTTACCTGACAAGAACTTCGTACAATACCAAGAAACGTAGACTAGTAGCAAAGACTAGCAATTGATGAAATTCAATCAAAAACTAAAGGATTAAATGAAGACGATACTAGTCACCTTTCGAGTGATCAATCAATTATAAATATGCTGATCATATATGAGACCAACCACAGTCATTATAGCTCAGTAGTAATAACGCAGACTGTGAAGATGGGCGATACACATTTCATTACCACAAAAAACAACAGTCTCTTCAAGCATAATGCTATCTGCTGGCTATGAGAACGATTTAATTTAACTTTAACTAGGGTTGAACCACATGTTAAGATATTCAATTATGTTAAGATCTAAGAGTCTGTTGCACGTGAATGCTAATTACGCTTAAATGGTTTAGTAACATGTGAAATATGTACAACCAAGTGAATTATATTGAACCTATCATATGGTCAGCTGTCATATTCTTGAATGGCCGAGAGCGGATAGATTCCGCTATTTTTCTCGAAATCCTCTTATGTGGTCACGCATGTATAAACACTACTGGGGAATTTATACTGATTGCCTTCTCCTGACTTGGGATTTTGTTCTAGAGTTGAGGAAACTAAAAGCAAATGTTTGGCAGGACTTAAACCAGGTTGGTGTGTACGGAGTAACCACCTAGGAGAGCTGGTAAGTCACGATTCCAAACCGACGGTGCATATGCACCTACTGCTGGTCACTGGCTGCCATGGAACTGCATCTCCCGACGTTGCTTGATTACCATGTGGATTAGGTCAAAGGCTTGGGGAGTGGACCCCCAAGGGAACTATCTGCTTCGGCTTGGACACCCAGGCAGTAACCCAGTTCACACATAAATTCAACTATTTGTGTAGTATTCAGGTCTCACTTCGTACCAAAAGTTGCGTTTAAATATATATTTACTTATTATGTAAAAGATAGGAAACTATAAAATATTGTAGTGTATCAGTATAGTAAACGACTGTCGGAAGTACTATTGCTACTAGGTGCTAACTAACGAACCAAGGTGAAGAAGAAATGTCTTCAGTGACAGTAAAAATGAATTGCTCACAGAAAAAAGAATCGCTAAAATCGAAATGAACTAAAATGTTCCTGGATTATTATGTAACTTTACCTGTACAAGACAATGTAAACAGTGTAATACAGATTCTTGTAATGAATTCAATGTACCATCATCAATTGACATGGAAGGTGTAGTTGATAAGATTGTACTCATGATATTTGTTGTAGTAGTAGTAGTTGGCAGTAAACAATTAATATACAATGGAATTAATACACCAATTTTTAATAATTCAGCTAATCGATCAAAATCATGCAATTGAAAATCTTCTTTAATATAATTAAATATTGGTATGAATAAATCAAAGTATAAAGTGATAAATGATAAACTTGGCAAGTATAAAAATGAAGGATAACAAATCTGTAAGATGGAGAAAAAAAAGTAAAAGGTACAAAACAATGAGTATGGATAATTTAGCGCTGATAAATTTTGATAAGTTTTGAACTATTTGATTACATAAAACATCAGTGGACCATGTTGTCACTTGAAGTTAGTAGCATTGATCAATGGGCATAAAAACAGAATAGTATGAATATTTAGAAGCAATTAATTATGATTACTTTAGACATAGAGATGACGTAAATGACAGCTTAATGATTGAGTTATTTACATATTCCGATTACATTAAGGAATAAAAATCCTCATGAGCACGAAGATAATTAATTGTTTATCGATAACCAGATTTAAGGTAGATAGATGGTTTAAATTTTTGATTAGCAGCCAAATATTATCATTACCAAACTAATCAACAGTATGTTGGGTGAGTGTCTATTGATGACATTAGACGATGTGATATGTTATATCATGAAAAGATTGATCACAAAAAAGTGATCCAATATTGACTATGCATATATAAGAGCTAGATAATTTGAAATTCGATTTCGTGTGTGTTTAAAGATATTCAATGTTAAACAATAATGAATAAAAATGGAACATCAGTCCCAACCTTAACATTGTTTACTGACTTCGCAGGTGATGTTAATAATAGAAATTATCAAGTCGACAAACTTAATTATTGGCAATAGTATACATCAGTTCATAAGAAAAACTTAACTTTCTTAAAGAAACGCTCAGGTCTGAATATATATATATATATATATATATATATATATATATATATATATATATATATAATCAACTGAAGAAATTCGGTGCAGTTATTGTGACGAGCATATGTACGTTGTCAAGGGTTATTCATTAGGTGACGTGTTCATGCATCTGCCTTGAGATCAAATAAACCTAACTATACACGATCTGAATGATTTGTAGTTTACAACAGTTCACATAGAAAACTCTCAAAATTTATCAGACTTGTAAAGATGAAGCATGAAACAAACAAATGCCTGTCAATTTATTAACTAACCTTTTGACCATTTTCATCAATTGTTACATTCATATCCCTGTTATCATTAGAGTATTGAGTTGGTAAACAGTTTACAGATACATTTGTAGTAAGAGCAAGAGAGTTATTGTTGTTATTGTTCTGATGATTAGTGGATTGAGCAAATGCTATCGATTGTTTTCCAATTTGCAGCCAAGTTTCCCAATAAGCAGACCAAATTAATTTTGCTGTTGGCAATGATGTAGATGATGGTGTTGAAGGAGGATTAGGAGGCAATTGTATATCAAGTAGAATTTTCATACAATTTAATGAAGCTAAAGAAATCTCTCCACCATCCATCAGAGCAGTGACTTTTAAATGATCAAGTAATATTTGCCAACATTTTGTAAAATCATCTAATTGAAATATAAATCAACATATAGCGACAAATGAATTTAAAAAAAGATTAATTTATTATTTAAAATTTTTTTTCCATAACTACATGAAATAAAACAGACAATCATTACGATAGTGAATAATTTATTAAAATTAGCCTACTTAACTATAAAGTATTTGTATCAATGATTACATGTTGAAAAAATAAAAGAAAACTAAACTGAAACTCATGCCAATTCAAATTAACCTGATCCGTAGAATGAATAATAAATTGTTATTCTTATTCATTTAAAGAGCAATCTTTTAAAAATCTGTTCAAGCAATTCATTAGTTAATGAGAGAGAGAGTGAAGTGAGTGTAATCATAAACTTGTATGCAGTATATTGGATCTCCGAATGCAATTTCTGAGAAATGGAGAAGAAAACTAGTAAAATGTAAACTATCAACAAATCACATTTGAAATCATGAAGCGATTAATGTTAGACCAACGATAGAAACCTTGAAGCACTGGATGGCCGTTTGTTTTTGGTATCGGATTCATCAACAGTGCGCGTCCAGGACTCCTGCATTTCACAGGATTCGAACCTAGGACCTTGGGTCTTGCGTGCGAACGCATAAACTCTGGACCACTGAGCCGGTATCTAGCGGTGTTAATGTCTAACTTCGATCAACAACATTATAATATAAAGAGAAGTTGATAGGAACTGTTGAAGAATTTTGAATATCTAAAATAATCCCACAAATTTGATCAACTTCACTATACTAAAAAGGCATACAAAATTAACTGATTATTTATTATAAATAAATCGTGTTTTTTTTATAAACCATGAATACCAAATACTAAATATCATTGTGACTAAATTGAATTTCTTGTTTTTTTCTGACTTCGAACAAACTCTATTCAACTAAATAATTTTGTTTCTTGATGCTTTCAAATAAATATTATGCAGTATTGCTAAAAAAGTGTTGGTCGAGGAGATAAGAGAGTTATTGGGAGGTGTAGAAAGGATTTGAATGCGACCAGTTTGGTCGAGTGCGCTTTTATGAGTATGAGAGATGTAACATCCCGGGTGCCCACATCATGGAAGGGTTCTGGTTTCCAGAAGGGGCACCGGCCTTATGACTTCCAAAGGAACTTGGCTTTCGTCATGAAACGTCATCACTCTTCTAAATGAAAAACTCCTAACTCCCAGAGCAAAGTTTATATGGTTTGGATTTTTTTTCTTATCAGCGTTTTTTGGCAAATTATTTTTTTCCGAGATGGGGTTGCAAACCCCATGTCCGACCCTCCTCCTTTATCCCAGCTTGGGACCGGCAGTAGCCCCGAAAGGTCATCAGGCGGAATAAGTTAGAAGAAACCTAGGGGCCGCCAAGCCAAAACATGGCACAAATCCATGAAGTCGCTGACAAGTGGACTAAGTCAAGTCAGTAGGTGTCGACTACCTGGTTGAGGTTCGCGAGATGATAGTAATCGATGGTTAGAGACCCTAAGTGACATGGCTCAAAACCGTCTGCAATGGCGCAGGTGCATCCACTCTTTGTGTTCTCTCAAATTCTAAACTTCTTAATTCCTCATCACTTGATCTTTTTCAGGTCTATTTCATTACATTCTACTTCTTGAATAATATCTTCTAAACCTAATCTCTCCGATTACTGCTAATACTTTTACTACCTCTACTACTATGGGATTTGAATTGACAATTGCATCTCTGTGGTATGGCAACATGAACTGATGTACGTGCGTACGTACGAACTTCTACGTTGCTGCTGATTGATTGATTGACTGATTGTCAAAAAAACAATGAAAGAGTTGGTCTTTTTTATTTATTATGTCAATTTTCTACAAGAAAATAAAATACTACAAGTATAATATGCATTAAACGTAGTTAAATATCTAACTAAATATGAAAATGACAATGACAGTTTACTGGATAAATAATAACTACTGTCAGTGGTTAATATTGAACTAAGATTGTATACATAATTGTTTCATTTTATCACGTATTACTGCTAGTAGTATTTATCAATGATTCAAAAATAAAAACTGTACAGACAAATTAATAATAATGATAATAATAACATTGAATTTTATCAGTATGATTCATATTGACATGCTCATAATTTATATTGTTACTAATTATTTTCAATATAGACGAAATATGACATAATTTTAATAAGCAATGAAGTATAAAAACAATGAAAAATAGTAGTAAACAGAAAATCAACTTTAAATGAAAGTATTTTATTTATATTATCAGATAAACCATAACATATCAATTCTGTCTAACTTTTAATTTTTAAAAAACCTGTTCAAAAATGTTAACTTTCTCATAAATACGTTGTGTTTTTATGAAAGAAAAGAAAATCACTTTTAAAATGTTATACAGATTAACATGTTAACAGAATTAATTTCCATTCATTAATTTTGTATTCATGTAACGATTGGTTAATTTGACAAATTCTATAAATTCTATAAATACTCAATCAATTTGATCAATTTGAGATGAATAAGTAAAAAACTAAAAAATGTAACTGATTTGTTTTTTTTTGAGGCATTTGTTTTTATCAATCTATCTAATCTACTTTTTTTTGTAGTTTGAAGAAGTTGCGGAAAAAACAAACGTTGTTTTATTCCTATCAGAGTGTTAATCTCTATCACAACTAAAAATCATACAATTATTCTTTTTTCCAATTAAAACCACTCAATCAATTAATTACTTTAAAATGTAGCTATTTAAAACTATAATTAAACACACACAACAAAGAATCATTGAAATAGTCGAGAGAATAATATAAAAAAAAATCGACTACTTACTAAGTGTTAATAATTGTGATTGTTTCGATATGAAACAATGTGATACACCAGACAGTGTCAGTACAACTGTTTCAGCCCATTGTTTAGATACAGTATCACGACTATGATGAATTAATAAACTATTCGGTTTGTCGCTAATTTTTTCCACAGGTGCATTTTGATATAAACTGTGCACATTTGATAATAAAGGAAACAATATCTAAGCGAAGAAAAAGAGAGAAGACAAGCAAAAAAAACATGAAAAATAGTAAGGATATACACATACAATAAATATATCCACTTGTTTGATTTGCATTTAAATTAATGAAACAACCGATTACTATGACCAAAAGTTGAAAAGAATGAGATCTTTATTGAACATGATTGACTAATCAATCAAATATCATTAAAGTTTAGATGTATGCAGGAATACAATTCGACATCAATTGGACTCTTAACATAAAGTAATTTTCGCTCGAAGGTAAACAAATAGCTGTTTCATGAGACTAGTAAATACATGTGAATGACAAAATACGAGCACAAAGAAAATCAAGTTATCATCTACTAAAATTACGAGTATGACGTAAACACAATAATACACAATTAAAATTTTGGTGCAGTTAAAAATTCATCAAGAAATATCACAATATTATTATGTAAAATAGTCTAATGAACAAATTCTAAGCATTTAAGTTTATTATTGAAGGAAGAATTTTGAGGTTTATGGAGACCTTGGCTATTGGAAAATTGAAACTCTCCTTATGTATATAGAAACAATTTGTCATAACCTTAGATTTACCCTGATAATCTTTAAGCCTAGGGTAATGTGACAATTTTCCTACCCTTTCTTATTTTTTTTTTTTCATATTAAGTTAATTTTCTTTCTCCTTTATTTACAATCATCACCGTATGTCTATTTGAACTTTTATTTAATTGACCTTTCATTAATCTTCATATAAAATGCTTTGACAAGTAAATATATGTGACCAGATCGATTGAAATGTATAGCGCAAATACATCACATTTTTCAGATCAATTATGTCTTCTCACTGTACTATCAAAATTTATGAAAGGGAACAATTGTTTCAAGTTTATTAACTTTGCAATTTTCATCAACGATCAAAAACTGTTAGCATGAAATGATAATTTGTTACATGAAAATTGACAAGAGACAATAGTCTTATTAGAAATGATCATGTAACCAAACATATTCTTGTGACAATGATAACAATATGTTTGATGAATGTGTTAGATAAATCATTTGAGAAATAAATAAAATTATCTAATTAGTTTATACATTGTATCAGATCAAACAAACCCATATAAGCGGTTTGGTTAAATAAATAAAAGAGGATTCCTGTTATTACACAAAGTGAATTCTACCACTTAGCCATAAACAGTGAATACTGCTTCATATATGAAACTACCTAGTTGCAGATGCAACTCTGGGTGCAAATACATTTTTGTAACAGCTTCGCGATAAACCACCTCTATAATGAGAAGTATATATTTCAGAGGTTTTGACTAGTTATTCCAACACTAAGCTGAAATTGAGCAGGAACAGAACTAGAACAAAGTGGAAATCTTAAAACTTGCAATGCTATAATAGCTGAAAGCTTTCGTAAATGGAAACTGAGATAGGATAAATTTATTGGCGAAAATCGCAAACATTTCTAAGGATTTAAACAAACAGAAAACATCAAAATATAATGAAACGTACCTTCCATAATAAAGTAGACCATGTATCCTCGTCGAACTGTTCACTATGACATTCAATTGTATTGAATAATGTTTGACATGCAGACTTTCGAACGGCTGGTCTACGATCTAAGCATAAGTCAGCCAATTTATGAAATACACTAATCCATAATTGTTTTAAATCAACTGGAGAGTTGACTGTATCAGACACAACATGTGGAATATTTTTCTGTTCCATAAAAAAGTCCGCTAAATGTAGCTGTGAAAAAATTATGCCGTAAAGTGAAGAGAGGGAGAAAATAAAAGTAAAAAAAGTGTTACACAGGCTTTGTATAACCATTTCCTACTAAATATTTTAGTGAAGTAAGTTCTCCTTTTAACACGATCATCCATATGCTAAATGAGCATTTGATCGACTGTCACCTATACATCTTATAATTTAAAAATAAATCTGATGATTGATTTACTGTAATTGGTAGACAAGGCTCTAGGACGAAACGGAAGTTCAATGTTTTTCCAGCTTTCGTTGGCTAATTTCAAGAGGCAATTCTCGAACTGGGACTGAAAAACTGTGACCAGAGGAATTCAGCCATGATGAGTGTGAGACAGTTTCACAGAGATGGTATCGAGAGTTGACCAAAAAATAATTCGAATTCGTTGAAGCTAGACATATAAACCATTAGATATCGACACCATGGCTGACAAGTTTAGTGAGGATGTAGTGCCTGAAAGTCCTGTGTTTGACTCTTAATGGGATCGTGAATTACGAATTTCATGGAGTCGCGTACTAAAACAAAATAACTGCCTATTATATCTTGATTTTCAACGGTAATCTAACTAACACTGTATTTTACATACAGATAGATGTTTCAGACACATATACTTCGTAAGTGTATATGAGTAAGAAAAATATTTAAACATTTATTATTTTGTTATGTAATTTAAATGCTGAATGGTAAAACGATACTCAGGTAGAAACTTTGAGCCACAGTGAAAATAACCCCTTGTTATCCACTGAGTACATAAAGCGAATAAATCATGAATTCTTTTCAGAAAAATTCAATGAAACTTATACATACACGATAATATTAAGCAGATTCTAGTTTTTCAATAATCAAAATCAACTTTTTTTTTCTTTTAGAACCACAGCATTTTCAATGAAGAAATGTATTTGTTCAAAATCGGATCAGTTCTTGTTTGAGTTGATTTATTAAGTTTAAAAAAACGATCATAAACAATTTCTTTGCAAAATCGCTTCAATAACAACGAAACAAATTTATGCGATAAATGATTAATAACCACATATAGATGATATATGAGAGTTCTGAGATTTTTCAGACTAATTACGAAACAGAAAAGTCGATTATTCAATCTATATATATATAATAAAATTGATATGAAGTATATTGAAACAAGTTGTTTCATACAGAAAGTTTTTCGTATGAGTACGTTCCATTCCAAACCTATTCATTTTTATGCATTTTGATAACACAATAATCATAAACCATGAGGTTATCCTAATATTAAGTCATCTCCTAAAAAAACTCGTTACAAATGTCACACAAAAATCTTATAATCACTTTAACTAAATGACAGTTAATCATCATGTTAGTTGAAAGATATAACATACAAGCTGAAATTTATTTACACTTGAAAAAAACAAAATAAAAGATGAAATTTACGAAAGAAACACTTACTAAGGATCCTATAGCTGCTAAAGCAATATTTAAATCTTGTTTTTGATGTCCAAAACGTGCTGCAGTTTCAACACAAACTAAATAACAATTCGGCAGTAAAGTTGATAAATAATCTGTAACAATTAATTTGAAGCATTTAAATGACGTCTGAATTAAATCTACTCTATATAAGGGAATAAAAATAAACCAAATTTGGAAAGAAACAGGAGAAACATGAATTAGTTTATGGTTAAACATTCATTTTCAAAAAATTGACTGAATACTTATTAAAATTGGATTGTGACTAGTGGAGGAAATCACTCCGCCTGTTTCTTCTTATTCATGGTTCAAAGCGAAGCGCTCAGAACGTAAAAAGAGATTAATAAAATGCAAAACTTAGTGTCAAAAAAAACTTAAACCAATCTGATATGCCCGTCAACTGACCTGCGCGAAACTATTACGAGTTCATCTGACTCGATTACGAGAGCGAAGACAAATGATGCAGTGAAATGATAGGCTATTCTCATCCGTTGTCCCCTGCCCGGCTAATTATATCAACAAGTCTTGATATGGCATAGAAAGTGTATTCTACAAGCACCCAAAAAATATGAGGTTGACAAGCACACAAATCGAGTTTATTTATACATCATAGAAACGTCCTTGAGAGAGCCACATAAATAACGTACTATAATAATACACCAACCAACAACAGCCAAGGATTATCCGGGTGGGAAATGCAATCTCAAGGTCAACTGATCAGCCCACGCGACAAAATATACAATCCAAAATTGCGACCTTTATCAAGTAAGTTCTGGGGATCTAACGTCCCCAACACAACTACAGATACATTTATTTATTTCGTTTGGAAGGTAATGAAGTTTGATAGACGAACAAACAAATCTGTTAGAGCTGACCCATTTAAATATGCTTACGAAACTGTTAATGTCGCAGCAGTAGCAACGACTGACTTTGTATTGTAGCAATGCTAAGTAATCGATATCATTTCTTATTGGTTGTTTTATCTTGAAAAATAAAATATGTATGCTGAGAAGTAAAATTGTAGTGTTTCTTTTTCTACTATCCTATAGTTTGTTTGTTATTCTCATCGTTTAAGTATTGTTCAATCTGTTCAATGACAACAGATCCATTCTCGTAACGAAATTATCTCGTAATATAACCTTTCAGGAAGTAGTACAAAGATCATAATAAAATCATAAAATGATTGATGCAGCTTAGTGAATAATAAATCACTCCATAATTAAATACTCGGCTGAAGAAGATTCAAATACAAATTCATTCATTTCTATTTCATAAGTTGTATGGTGTATTTTTACTTTATATAAATAAATCAAATCATTTGATTGATAATTAAATAATAGGTAAAGAATTTTGGAAAAAAAATATTTAAATAGTCAAATCTTTATGATATAAACAAAATTTATAGGATTTCAGCATAATCCAATGAATAATTGTACAAAGAGTGAATACGACGTCAATAACAATCTCTATAAAAAAAAAGAAGAATTTGATGGATTCATTTTAATTTTCAAACTTTTTTATTAGCCTCAAGTAGTTTGGATCAATGATGAACGACAATAATAAGTTTAGAAATAAAAGCAAATTATCTAAGGATGAATGAAGTTCAGATAAAACTCATCAGGCAAGATAATCAATCAAAAGAAATGAAAATAAATTATACACAATATATATACTACTAAATTCTAAATAAGTTGTCTTTTTTTGATGAAAATTATCTTCAAGAAGTTAAATAAAAAAAATCTACAAATTATATGAAGATAAAGATGGTTGAAATCGTAAACCTAGTAGTTGAGAATTATACATATGTTTCAACTACAGCTTACCTTGATGAGTGGTGGTTGCTAAAATGAAAGTAGTCTTGAAGAAAGTTAGGAACGACTAAAAGAAATGTTGTATCATTCCATGAAGTCAGATACTATCAGATAGATTCTTATAAGTATGTGTAAACTGTTACGTTGGAGTATGCACGATTACCGACATTGAGAGCTTAAGACATTGGATAACATAGCCGAAAATTTGTTGCAACGGCCTTGATACATTTTACTCCTATCTACACTATTTAATCCAAAAATCCTTACTTTCTTAAACACAAAAAAAAAACGTTACAGTGAAAACATTTTTTTTCTTTTTGACGATATCAATTGTAGTTATAGTAAATCTTTCAGTAAAACAGAAGAGTTTTATAAAAGTTATCTACAATGAAAGTTATGTGATGTTGTGTATTATAGCCGAGATTATCAAAACGCTCCAAGTATCATAATAATCTATAAATGAAAGGGTTTTATTTCAATGCAATTAAAAGTGTTTAAAGTAGGCGTTTCGTCATTTAGCAAAGTAATCAATAATCATCAGTAGCTAACGTTATAATGACGTATTAGAAGCAATAAGAGCTAATGATCTATAAAATCAAAACAAAATATAAAAACGTTTACACCCTGTAAGAAGGAAGACAAGATGAAGAAAGTAATTTAAGATCAATAATTTTTTTTTAAATTGATAAGAGTGTTAAAATCATAGAAGAGTTAAAAGAATCGAACAGGACTTATGTACACGACGCATCACATTTGAAATGATGAATTGTTATAGCCTCAGTTATACACAAATTCCTATTGTTCAAAACTTTTTTCAACCGGTTCTTTTCACCTGATAGAGAATCTTCAAAACTAAATACCGATAAACTCTATTCATCTAATACAAAATTGAAAGCACATTCTGACTCTATTGTACAAACTGAGAGATAATGGTGATGAAACAAGCAGTAGTATCTGTTGGGGACGTTAGATCCCCAGAACTCACTTGATAAAAGTCCCAATTCCGAATTTCGTGTTATTGCACATGGGCTGATCGGCTGACCTTGAGATTGCGTGTCCTACCCGGATAATCCTTGACTGTCACTGGTTGATGTATTATGATGTATGAATAAACTAAACTCGTGTGCATGTCAACAACATTTCTTGGGTGCTTGTAGAATACACTTTCTATGCCTTATCAAAACTTTTTGATATAGTTAGCAGGGCCTGGGACAACGGATTAGAATAGCCTATCGTGTCACTGAATCATTTGTCTTTGCTCTCATATACCGGCTAAGGTGAACTCGAAATAGTTTCAAGCATATCAGTATCATATTGAATGTAAATCACACCATGATAGCATTGACATTATGTAATTAAATATAGAATATATGATCAATAATAATAACAGTGATTTATAGTGACAATAAATCAATGATTTACTTGTAGCTTTCTCTTATTACTCCAATAATTTCAATGATTCTAAGCCAACTGTAGCGTACTTGTTCACCCCAACAATGTAATAATTGTTGAACACATTTTAATTGTTCTTCTCGTACATCATCATAGATAATATTATCAGATAGAGCTGTTAATGGATCAAGTACTTGAATAGTAAGTTCCTGAAAAGTTTTTAAGTAAATATAAACGGTAAGAGTAGATTAAACAAGATAAGTATATAAATATTGATTATATTATCAATCGTAATAATTTGTTTACACTGAAAATTCTAAAGATTCATATACGTAATTTATTTTGTGAATAAAATAACTAGTTAAACATTTATACATTTCTCACAGATGCATATGCAATAAGGTACAATGGGATTTGAACTGACAATTGTAGCTTTGTGCTAATGTAGTAAGGCAACCGGAACTTATGAACGTACTTACGTATGTATGTACGTACGAAGCTCTACATTGTAACTGATTGACTGACGAACCAACTGCATCAGTTACTTCATCATGTTTTATTAAATGGAAAATACTAATAGATAAATAAAAATCCAATAATACAGATTAACTAAATACAAATACAGTAGTGTTACACGAGAACTTGATAACCTACTTCAATAAAAACATTGAATCTAACTTGATAAGAAATTAATTTTCCATTAGCGTGACAAATAACACTTTTCTAATAATAATAATAATAATAATAATAATAATAATAATAATAATAATAATAATAACAAATTTCACTTCGCAATCAAGCAGATTTTTGTACACATAAAGAAAGTGTAGTAAACGTCTTACTTCCATGGTAACGATCACAGTGATGTAACGTCGTCTATTGCACATAACCTATTCATTTTATTTTGAACTTTTAAAACTGCGCTAACAGTCATTCAATACATTAGTGATATTTTGATATCAACTTCCTGACTTGATCATCTACTCATTCATTTGTTAAAAAAATTAGACCGAAGAAATTCAAAATCGTCATTTGAAAAATATACTGATTTTTTAGTTCTCTACCACTTAGGTAAAAACGATGTTTAGCAAAAATCCTAAGTCATCGTGTAAAAACGATTAGTTTCGATAACACTGAACACAAATTGAACGATATCCTCATAACTTATATAAAATTGATAGATATTCCATGAAATTTATCAACAACCATGTAAACGAGGTAAAAACTAGACTAGTGATAACAAGCGTAATCTGAAGAAGATAATACTGCCCTCGGGAATGCTAAAACATAAGTTCCCCTTCATTGCAACCAAAATAAGTGACTTTGTTTGACCAATAATGAAAACCACAAATGAACATAAGCTATATGAATTCATGACATAATTTTTTCTATAATTATCAATTAAATTCCTTCAATGAAGCCAATTTTGTATTGAAGGGACAATGAGACAAATTTGTCCAGTTTGGTGTAAAGCTATTATTATAATTGTGTCATAGTTTATATGCTCGTCAACTGATATGATCGAATGCTATTACGAGTTCACCTGATTCGGTAAATGGGACGAAAGCAATGACTTAGTGACACGATAGGCTATTCTAATCCGTTTGTCTCTGGCCTGGCTAACTATATCAAGAAGTCTTAATAAGTCGTAGAAAGTGTATTCTACAGGCACCCAGAAAATACGAAGTTGACAAGCACACAAATCGAGCTTATTGATGCATGGTAGAGACACCCTTGGGAGAGCCTCAAAAAATAGCGTACTAAAATGATCCACCAACCAATGACAGTCAAGGATTTTCCGAGGGGAGAAATGTGAGCTGTATGTCAACTGACGCGAAAACATAGAAATTCAAAATTTCAAAATAAAATTACAAAATTAGGACCTTTTCAAGTTAGTTCTGGGGATCTAACGTCTCCCACTATAGTAAATGTTGAATTTTTTCGAATAAATTAAACATAAAGCACACCAACTAAGTATTTTTTCAATGACAATCGTTTCGACCTATAAAAGACAACTGCTTATAGAATACTATTACGTTTTTTTTTATCTGATTCCTATAAAGTTTCAAGGTATTTTCTGAAACATTCAGCCTCCTTAACAAATGCATGTTTTATGAAAATAATGAAAAAAACTGTGGTTATTTTCTTTCTAATTAAAAATAATTACATTACGAAACAATGTGCCTTAATTAAAAATCAATAATATTTTATGGTTTTGACAAATTTACAAGATAATTTGAAGTATGGAATGTTACTTTGTGAAAAATTGACGAAAAAAATGTTCAAAGAAAAGATTAATTTAAAGAGATTCGTTGATTTGAATTTCTCTTTCTAATACTCTTCAATGAAAGTTTTTGAAAAACAGTCAAGATACTTATGGATGAAAAAAAACCATGACAATTACTGCATAAATTAGTTAGGCAATGAAAAGACTTCACTGTTAGATTTTAAATAGCTAGCAAGATAGAAAAAGAAATTTAATGAGAAACAAGGTGAGCTTTTGCACTAAAATGAAGTATGAAAAATACAATTTATGCGTCGTATGGAATTCCCTTTCATGATTTATATTATTGCAAGCCGGTTTTAGTTGGACAACCATCGAAAACCAAAAGGCACTGAACGATTGTTTTAACCAGGTATGGATCTAGTCAGCTGTGGATATCTATGACCGTGTTGCAAAATGAACCCAAGATGTTCAGTTGCTAGTGTTAACACACTAGTTGTCTCTCAATGTTAAATCGACTTTTTATTGCTGTACAGTATATAATAAGGGTCAGTCTAATCGCAAAAATTCCACATACTGATTCGGTGGCAATACAAACCATTGGAATTACATGTAAAAGATAAAGCAAAAACTGAATTAAATTTATTGGTACGTCAAAATTTAGCACATAGACCTTTTGTAGAAGTAAAAATCCACCGGGAGCTAAACAAGATTAGAAGTTAATTTCGTGTGATTTGAAAACTTAGTTTTTGTGGCTACAATGATTATTATCAAATAAAGTATGACACAATAAACGTGAGATAAAAAAGTATAATAATAATAATGATAATGACAATCTACTTATATAAATGATTTTTATTCTAATGAACACTTACTTCATTTTGCCAAAAAGGTGGATTCTGTGGAGCAGCGATTGCTTGTCTAATTAAACTGGTCAAACAGCTTGAAGACAGTTGACGGAGAGTGATATGAGTGCAATTACATACCTAGATCAAATTGTGTAAAAAGTAAGAAATCATTTGTACTTCATTAAAAGACATGGTCATGAGAAAATTTGCAGTATTACAAATTTCTAAATGGTATGTTTATCAAAAAGTAATTTTTAACACTAGAGACAGAAGATTTACTGGTAACTGACAAAAAATATACATAGGAAAAAGGGGAATTTTTCTAAATGAAATAATATTTCTAAATACAAACTCGATTATTCTGCTCGGAGCCACAATGTGATGGCTCATGTCAAAATAGATAAGGGGTCGATCATCGTGCTACTCAGAGCTAAACGTCAAGTAGTTTAGTCACTTAGTCTAGGTTCTCGTTAAGAAAGATAACGAATACTAAGTAACATTTCAGTGAAGTGCGTGTTGTTCAGTATTACTTGAAAAATTTTGGAAAAAGGATTAATAATTAAAGTTTTTGGAATTCGGATACTTATCAATTTAATTTTATTTCAACATTTGAGTAACTAACACACAAAAAAAACGTGGCTCACAGCTGGGTGTGATATCTGTACTTAAACAATATGATGGGATTTCGTCGTATGAGCTGGTTGGTTTGGTCATGGAGGTTTCATTGTTTTTCTGGACATTATCATAGGCAACCAATGACACAACAAAATCAATCCAATTTGCCAGCCAATCAAAAAAATCACGGACATAAATAGGATCGAAAAACAGATCAAAGTGGTGAAACAATCAAAATACAGAAGCAAACAACGACAAGTTGGAGGTCAACAATAACCATTCAAGGTCGAGGTTGACAGGACAAAAGCTCAGCGATATGTGGCGAATTTGAATACTTCAATTCTACCTAAATTTTGTGTTGACGTTTTCCAGAAGTACAATGAAAGCTGTAAAACCAAACCATTCAGGTCAGAGAACGAAACTCCATCATAATCATCCACATAAACGACAAATTTTCTCTATCAATGAAAAATCACATGTGCTGCACCTAATGCGTTACACTGAATAAGTGATGTAATCAGCTTTACAGTGTATATAAATACTGTCCTAATCATATGCAAAATTAAAATCTTATACAGACAGAATGTTTAACAATATGCTGTTTCCAAGAAATAGCTTGAATTAAATGAGAATGCGAAAATTACTAAAACATAAGAACTAGAAATAAATAGTCGATTCATTATCAATTTGAAATGATTAAAATGGAGATTTAAATAATTAAACGAAGAAAGTAATTTTGTTTATGATGTAAAATGGTAAGTTTGAAGTTGAATGTCCTATGTTGACGTGTTGTAAAACAGATTAAAACAAGTGGAGTATCTTGGACTTTCCACAGACATACTTGTGGGAAATTCACTTGATCAAATGCGAAGAAGTAGGGCTTGATAAATGACCAAGATGACAAGCTCGAGGTGAGCAGGTAAAATGGTTGATCCAAATAGAATCGGTCACTTATGACAAGTTAGGATCAGTGAGAGAGCATAGAGTGTTCTGTGTTAGATTTATTTCAACCGAGGTGAATAAAGCCGTAAAATCAAATTAATCAGAATATATCACACTTTAAATGAAAAACTTAATTGACCTCATCAACACGCTAATAACCATATATTTTTTCCGATCAACAGTAAACTATGCAAAAAAAATTAAAGGGAACATCTATGGCATTAGTAATATTGGGATTCATTGAAAAATCATATACATAGAGGGTGGACAGTGTAGTTTTACCAATGATGAAAACAAAAATTTGGATATCATATATCCACGACAAATCTGTCATGATTAAAAATAATGAGGTGAAAAAAAATTGAAATTTGATCAATAACGTGTTCGACAGCATTAAACTCACAACAAAATCAGAATCAATGAACAAACTACTGTTTTTAAGCATAATGACCACTAGAATACTGGAAAATTGAAAATCGTATATAACATAAACGAACTCATACCAATCGATTTCTCAAATACAACAGCAAACTCTTAATCAAACTGTATACAAATCTTATTCAAAAGTGTAAAGGCACATTGCAAACGAAGAGGGTTTATAAATATAACAGGAGAAAAAAGGTAGTTAAATATCCATCAGAGAATATATCACAAGGGAAGTAGATTTTTGCAAGATATAAAAATAGGATTTGTAGTTTCAACCATACTATAAAGCCGACATCATCAAAGAAGAACTGGTAAATACCACAATAACAATTAATAAACATATATTTGATATGAATTTATCAAATTCATAGTATAAGTAAGTAGGAAATATGAACTACACTGATTTATTAATCTACTCAACTGAGAACAGATGGCCTTTTAACAAAGTAGGAAAAAACGTTTTAACCGAAAAAATAATGATAAGTAGTGGGAAATTCCAAGTTCTATGTCCATATAATACGACTTTAATTGAAATATGATACATATTTCTATAATTCATTAATTCTTTTCTCTGATAAACTAAACACGCCGACACAGACAATAATTACATGATAGCCAATCAGAAAAAAGAACCTAACCAACCAATCCCGAAATAACAGTCGAATGATCGGCAAATGTAATATTTAATCATCAAACGACTACTAAGTTACGTCATAACCATTAAAGAACATACGGAGATATAGGACTGTCAAGAATATTTAGATAATTAAAGTATAATACGTTGAGTTAAAAAGGATAGTACAACAAGTATTCACTAAATGACGATATGAACAATTCTGATGAAAATCATGAAAAATACTATTTATTACACAAGATTATCAAAGGTAATATTTCTTTTCATTCTTCGTTTACTTCGATAACAACATCATCGCCAACAGTGCCGTCAACATTACTATATACCACAAATTCTTCTTCATCTACAGTATCCACATCAATTGGATGTCCAATAATATCGAGTTTAAAACAATTTGAAATTTTATATTCAACAATACATGCATATTTAGCTTGTACAGTGTGTTTATTTGGCACAGGAACAAATTTCTTAAATTCCATTATATTAACACAAGAACAAATGCGTAATCCAACAAATGCTTTATTAACTGGTATAGCAATTGTAGATAGTTTAACAATGTTAGCTTATGGTTCACAAGTTATCTATTTACACTTTCTTACATCACCATATCCTGAACAATATCCACACAGTCAATTGGCTGTATATTTAATCTTATTAAATCATGCAATCAGTATAGGCAGTCATACAATATCAACATGTTTATTAGTCCAATTAGCAGCATTTCGTTGTTGGGTATTATATTCCAGTAAATTAAAATATCTATTAAGTTTACATCATAATTCAGCATGGATAATGATTAATTCACAAAAACGTTTTATCCTTTATTGTTATGTTAGTGCAGGAATTATAGGCTGTATATTATGTATGCCAACATTTATTTTATATCAGTGTGAATTAATTGATGTGATAAATTCGCCAACAAATTATAATAATATTACTGGAAATACAATGAATATAAAAAATCATAATGATAGTAGTAATAATATTATGATTACTGATCAGTATTTCTATTGGTTCAAACTACGTCATGGTGGTCAACTATTAGAACGTTTACATTTCATTGTATATGGATGTTTTGTAAAAATTTTAGCATCAATACTTATTGTGATATTCACTGTATTCATATTAATGGTATTACATGATGCAAGGCAACGTTATCGAAAATTGCAAACATTACCAATTGAAATGAAATTAGATCATAGTAATATTACAAATAATACTATTAACTATAGAATCATTAATAATAATAATAATGTGACATTGACAAGAAGGATATCCAGTAATCTATTGCGTACAATCACACGTACTAATACTTCAGATTGTAATGTACCGACAAAAAATTCCGAGCCTGTCAACAGTAATTGCATTCATCAAACAAGTACTAATGTTACTACTGTTATTACTACTAAAAGCAATAGTAATCTAATGTCAACATTACCATTAACTACCACTAAAAATCCATTATCCTTTCGATTATATTCTATAACTCCAAGTAATGAGATGAGAAGTAGAGAATTTGATAATGGTGACAACAATCATAATAATAATAATAATAATAATGATAATAATACTCATAATAATAGAAATGCAATGACAAATAATCGTCGTCATTCAAGTCGTTTGCTTCAAAAATCCCGTGAAAGTCAACGTATCACTATTATGCTTATCATAGTAGTAATAAGTTTTGTCATTACTGAAGCACCACAAGGTTTATTCAATACACTTGTTGCTATTAAAGGAGAATGTTTTCTACATACAATCTATTTACCATTAGGTGATTTATTAGATTTATTAGTTTTATTAAATTCATCAATTAATTTCATTCTGTATTGTGCTATGTCACAAGTGTTTCGAGTGAATTTTGTGAATTTATTAAAGAAATTCTATTGTACTTGTTGTGAACATTGTATTTCAACATAATTCAAAAAAGAAAAGGAGAATAAAACAAATCACCATCGTATTGATGATATTAGAGTTATTTCATGTGGCCAAGTGAAATATATGTGAAATAATAATCAAATCAAAATTTGTTTCGGTTCATAACTAAACGAATTTTGAATTGAATTGCATTGAGTGAAGTGAAGTGAAAGAAGAAAGTAACCAGTGTAGATATGGAATATTGAATGTAACGAAAAACAATGAGTTGTTGTATAAAACCAACACACACCATCATTATGCATAAATGCGGATAAATTTTGTTTAACTGTTAATAAGCTATAATATACAATCTATTTTATTGAATATGATTTGTTTTGGCTGTATTGATTGTAAGTTGATAATGTATAGAAAGCTATTCGTACTATTATTATTATCAGGGCCCTGTATTATTATTACTACTACTATAGTGAACGAGAACACAAGGCGGGACAACCGAATTGTATTTAACGAAAATTACAGAGTTACTCAGTAAAATTGGAAATCCATATCGTAAATCGTTAATTTGCAAAATAACAGTTCATCATATCGAACTGGACTGTTCCTGTTCCATAACATCAATCCATTGTCACTATTCATGCGTTTCATACAAATTCCATTGTTTTCTAACTCTTCCTTTCTTGATCTTCCCCCATCTTCTGCTGCCAGACATTACGTTGACACACACGTCATATACTACTTATAAGTAGCTCACACCACACTACTACTACTGTATAATAGGACAGACAGACAGACAGATACAGCGCAGAAACTCGTACATAAATACATCACTTCAGGTTGCCATACCACGTCAGCATAGAGACGAAACTGTTAGTTCAAATCCAAGATTGAT